TAAACCCTAAACCCTAAACCCTAAACCCTAAATGGTGAATTGTGTAGGGTTTGTACATTCAAGTTCAGTATCATCAAGAATATTTTGTCTAATTTCCATGAGAATTCTTCCTAGATGATTTTGTCCTTTATTATGTTTTGTTTGTCCAAAGAAACAATCACCAGTATTTAGCCAAACTAATTCCCTTCCTCCTGTTTGTCGTAACTTTTCTCTTATTTCTGTATACATATATAAACCCTCATAAACCCTAATTTACCATAAACCCTAATATGTACATACATACAACCATAATAGGAAATAAAGGAAAAAAAAAAAAAAAAAGAAAAAAAAAGGGTTAATTATATATGCAATACATGTATATTTATATATATAGATAAAGGGTTTATATATATATAAAAAAAAAAAGATAAACACTAATATATAATATGTTCTTATATATTCGAGGGTTTAGGGTTTAGGGTTTAGGGTTTAGAATAATTTACCTGCATTCCTACGGAATTTATCCCTCTGAATTAATTCCATCCACTTTAATCGATAACGAGGCCACTCGGGGTCCTCCTGAACCCATTTCACACCCAAACCCTAAACCCTAAACCCTAAACCCTAAACCCTAGATGTCCATTTGGGGTCATCATCATCATCATCATGAGGCCGCCGTTTCCCATCTAAACCCTAAACCCTAAACCCTTAAACCCTGGACAATTAAACGCCTAGTGGTAGTCTTGATTGGCCCGCTTCCCACCTCAACCTGAACCCCTAAACCCTAAACCCTAAACCCTTCTAAACCCTAAACCCTACATATACATATCAGCAGCCCAGATACCGTAAAATCAGCTTCCTGCTTGTCCCGCCGCCCGTTTTCCTTTCTCCCCCCCGTCTCCCCCCCCTAAACCCTAAACCCTCGTGAGGGTTTACCTCTTTAGTCTTGGCGACTTGCTTAAGTTCCTTCATATCCTCAATAGAGGCAAGTTCCTCTACTGCCTTGGGGTGCTTAGCTGCTAATAAGGCATGACGAGCAGTAGGGAAGAAACGACCTTGAAAGAAAATAAGTGATGGATAATCTAGGGAAAGAAATTTAAATTCTCCTGTAAATGAATCTATTCGGGTGTACATACACCTTGCTGCAGCAGCTAAATTAGCAGGGGAAAGAAGCTGTGCTTGAGCAGCAGCTGCTGCAGCAAGAGAAGCAGCATCGCCTGGTGTTCCTCCTGGGGGAACCCCCGCAGGAAACGGGGTTGCCATTTCGAGGGTTTAGGGTTTAGGGTTTAGGGTTTAGGGTTTGGAGGAGGAGGGGCAGTAGCACAGCACAATGCTGCCGCACGCTTCAGCAGCACGGTTCAACTACTGCAGCACGACTCTCCAGCAGCAAAATAAAGAAAAAAGACAATAAAACAACAAAAGAAAAAATATATTTAATTAATTAATTTAAATACTTTTAATTAATAACAATTTAAAGGCAAAAGGCGCAAAAAACGCCGTCGCTTCAATCGCAATGCCAACAAAACAGCATCGCGGGTTTACGATGAGAATTAGGGTTTAGGGTTTAGGGTTTGGGGTTTAGGGTCTTGGGGCTCCAGTGCAAACCCCAACAACCTCTCCCCACAATAACATAATAAAACAAAAACACAAAAATGCTTTGATCCGCTTCCTCTGCTCTATATACAGCCAAACCCTAAACCCTAAACCCTAAACCCTAGATGCATGCCCCGGCCATTTGCTGCCGCCCTGCTCGAAGGGGCTTCGCTCTTGGGGCTTTAAGGCCTAATAAGTCATAAAAGAAATAAACACTAATTAAATATTTATTTTTTATTTTATTTAAAAACACTCTAGGGTTTTGATTTTATAGGAATTAGGGTTTAGGGTTTAGGGTTTAGGGTTTGACGCATGCTCTGCACAGAATGCCGCGTGCACCGCAACATTAGACAATAAAAAGATCCTCCCTGTCTATATATACCAACAGCCCCAAAGGATAATATTTAGGGTTTAGGGTTTAGGTTTTAGGGTTATATTCCTGTCTTATGCTTGTGGGGGCTACTCCCTCTCTAAAGACCGCTAAACCCTAAACCCTAAACCCTAAACCCGAGCAGTCCCAGCCATCACCTACATAATTCCAACTAACTCCTACTGTTTTTATTCAGCTAGCTAGCTATAGCTAGCTAATTATAGCTAGCTATATATGTCTATAGCTGGCACCACCAACTGGAACACTAAACCCTAAACCCTAAACCCTAAACCCTAGATAATGAGCACCGCGAAAAGAGTAGGCACAGAAAGACAATATATACAACTAATAAACCCTAAACCCTAATTGTATATTTATTGGTGGTTTAGTAGTAGAAATCATTCAACACACGACTAAACCCTAAACCCTAATTTACTACCCCGAGAGACCAAACCCTAAACCCTAAGAAGGGGACACCTTCTCCGTGCTCACCTTCTGCCTCTCTCTCTCTTCTGTGGCTCGGCCAGTAAACCCTAAACCCTAAACCCTAAACCCTAAACCCTAATATCAATTAAACAAGGACCTAAACAACTAACTAATTAACTAACTACCTAACCAACTAATAAAATAAATAACTAAATAACTAAATAACTAAATTAAATAAATAAATAAATAAATAAATAAATAAATAAATAAATAAATAAATAAATAAATATAAATATTTATGAATAAAGGACAAATAAAGGAGTAAAGTTTTAAATTAATAAAAAGAAGACAAATATATCTTAGTAAATGTTTATATTTATTTATTTATTTATTTATTTATTTAATTTATTTATTTTATTTATTTATTTTATTAATTTATTTATTTTATTTATTTATTTATTTATTAGGGTTTAATAACATCTAAGCACAGAATATTCTTATGGCTTCTTTTGTTGCCAAGACACCTGAATTAGGGTTTAGGGTTTAGGGTTTAGGGTTTAGGGTTTTGTTTTTTTTTATTGCAGTCTTTGCTGCAAACATATACACATAATATATAAATTATATATGTATATATATACATATATATATTTATATACATATATATAAATATATATATTATATATTATATATAATAAAAATATATATAATATACAACATATATTATTTATATTTATTTATTTATTTATTTATTTATTTATTTATTTATATTTATTTATTTATTTATATAAAGAAAAAAAAAGAAGAAAAAATTTTTGCGATAAAAATAAAACAACACCAACAACCCCACCATTACCACCACACGATTAGCAGCAACTGCAGCAGCAGCAGCAACTCCTGTTGCTGCTGTTGCAGCAGCAATTAAGCCTTTTTAATTTGTATTGCTGCTGCATCTCCTTCTCCTTGACCCATTTGTAGGAATTTCTTGATATTTACCTCCTTATATAAAGGAATAAGTGTACTATTTTATGCAAAAAAGCTCAGAAATTGTTGCTGCTGCTGCTGCTGCTGCTGCTGCTGCTGCTGCTGCTGCTGCATGTGGACTTATTATGCTTTCTTGATTTGTATTGCTGCTGCATCTCCTTCTCCTTGACCCATTTGTAGGAATTTCTTGATATTTACCTCCTTATATAAGGGAATAAGTGTACTATTTATAGGGACAGCAGCAACAGCAAATACATTTTTTAGGTCATATAATTTATTATAATTATCTATACACTCTACTATGCTGCACTCCCCTGCTGCTGCTCCTGCTGCTGCTGCTGCTGCTGCTGCTGCTGCTTGTTGTCCTGCTGCAGTAGATGCAGCAGCAGCAGGCACTAATTGTAATAATTGTATGTCTGGGGCTTTGCATGCAATAAAATTATCTAATAACATTAACTTAGATGGATATTCATTTACTAAACATATAAACTTTATCCATCCTTTATAATACTTTCCTTCTTCCTGTATATACAAATAAATAAATAAATATATAAATATATAAATTTATTTATTTATTTATTTATTTATTTATTTATTTGCTTTCTATTGATTACCTTAGTTGCATATTTTCATTAAATTTTTTTGTGGAAACCCTAAACCCTAAACCCTAAACCCTAAACCCTAAACCCTAAACCCTTATTACAGTTATAGTTTATAGGAATTGTATTTTAATATGATTAACTTTATATTTATATCCAAGAATAGCAATAAACGCCAAACCCTTACCCCTTTCCCCCCGACCCCCACCATAAACCCTAAACCCTAAACCCTAAACCCTAAACCCTAAACCCTAAACCCTTACCACAGCTTTAGTAAATAATGTTTGTTTTCCTTTATTAACTTTATATTTATGACCAGGAATAGCAACTAAGGGTTTTAGCCAAGCTAATGCATTTAGTTGGGGGGTTTGGCTCCATTGAATATAAATCGTATCTGTCTCGTTATCATACCTATAAATAAATATAAATATCATAAACCCTAAACCCTAAACCCTAAACCCTAATATACCCTAATATACCCTAATATACCCTTATAAACCCTAATAAACCATAATAAACCCTTATAAACCATAATAAATCATTATAAACCCTAATAAACCCTAATAAACCCTAATAAACCCTAATAAACCCTTATAAACATAAACCCTAAATTAAACACCTTCTTGTAGATATAAAAGGATAGGAGGGAGGGGACACAAATAGCTAGGGTTTATTTTTTGTCTCTAATTTAGGGTTTAGGGTTTAGGGTTTAGGGTTTACATTAAGAACATGCCATCCTCCAAGGGACTCTCAAGAGGGACAGATGTTCTCCTTGCGCGATCCGATTTAGGGGCCTGCACACATATAAACCCTAAACCCTAAACCCTAAACCCTAGAAACCCTCGAAACCCTAATAATAAACCTTAATTAAACCCTAAACCCTAATAAACAATAATCAACCTTAATAAACCCTAAACCCTAAGGAACAAGAGGAGTTGGTCACCAGTTTATCCATCAGATATTTATTTAGGTTTCTATAGAGGGTTTACTGTGGTCTGTGGGGTTTAAATTAGGGTTTAGGGTTTAGGGTTTAGGGTTTACAGTCATAGGTTTTTTTGCTGGTGCCTCGTCCTTCTTTGCTGGTGTTATTTTAATTCTTCCTACTGCTGCTGCTACAGAGTGTTCATTTGCTGCTGCATCTGCTGCTGCTGGTGCTGGTGCTGCTGCTGCTGCAGGTGTTGCTTCTGTTGATTCTGCTGCTGCTGCTGCAGGTGCTGCTGCTGCTGCTGCTGCTGGTGCTGCTGCTGCTGCTGCTGCATCTCCTCCCTTATGCTCCTGGGTCCCGTCAACCCCCTCATGATTTTCTTCGATTTGTATTTCGCCACGAGAGGCGGTGTCAGCACAGCAGCAAGAAAACATCTTTTTAGGGTTTAGGGTTTAGGGTTTAGGGTTTAGGGTTTAGTGGGACGAGCTGTTGATAATGAGGTCTCCTTAACAAATAAATAATTATATATATAATTTATATGCGATTGGGGTGTCTAGGCAGCTGCTGCTGCTTCGGTTGTATATATGTATGTGTTGCACACCGGCTCTGCGACTGTAGCTGCTGCTGCTGCTGCTGCTGCTGCTGCTGCGGCTAGGAGGGGTAAAATAGGAAAAGATGGAGATAATTATTGGGAAATAATCAAAGATATAACAAATTAAAACTCAAAGAAGAAATAAAAAGAAGAATGCAGCAGCAGCAGCAGCAAGATCACCACTGGCTGTATGTACACCATAAACCCTAGCGGCTGCAGCGGCGGCGGTAATTAGGGTTTATAAACCCCAATTTTTAGGGGATAAAAAGAATAAATAAATGAATAAATGACTTTTTATTACATTATTCATTATGTTTAACTATTATTTCCCTTCATTTTTACCTATTTTACAGCGGCAAGCTGCTAGCTCGCCTTCTTTTGCTGCTGCTGCATCTCGGGTGTATACGCAGCTAAATATATACCCATATATTTATTATAATCTATGAAGTCTTCCTTCCTTTGCCTTTTTAATTTATTATTTTATATTTATTTTTTATTCTTTTATTTTTATTTATTTATTTTATTCTTTTGCTCTTTTTTAATTCCTTTTTTATTTACTTAAGAAAGAAGGAGAGGGGCGACTGCAGCAGACGGACGCCGTTCCCTACGAGAGCAGCAGCAGCAGCAGCAGCAACAGCAGCAGCAGCAGCAGTGTCAATTGAGGTGTACATACACTTTAAATTATGCTTTAATTGCAGCAGCAAATAAGACAATTAAGAAGATTATTTTATTTTATTTAACACTCTTTGTTGCTATTTCTTCTTCCTCCTGTCTTTTGAGGGTTTAGGGTTTAGGGTTTACGGTTTAGGGTTTAGATGGTGGTTGGGGCATCGATGTTGGTTGTGGTGTGTAAACCCTAATTTAGGGTTTATGTGTGTCGTCTTCCCTTATCCCTTCTTGTATTGAGGGTTTAGGGTTTAGGGTTTATTGGACAGCTGCAGCTGCAGCTGTAGCTGCTGCTACTGCTGCAGCAGCAACAGCAGCAGCAGCTGCTGCCTGTGTGAGGGTTTAGGGTTTACGTAATCTACATGAGTATATTGTCTTCTTTCTCCTTCTTACGGCCTAGAGGCCTGCCTGCATGCATGCAGTTATATTTGGGGCTTTCTTCGTCATCTATACCTAATGGGGCTGGCTGGATGCATGCATTTTCTGCATGGACCTGCATGCATCAGCATGCATGCATGCATGCATATGCATCCCCTATACGTCTAGGACCCCCAAAGAAGCGTGCTGCAGCTGCAACTGGTGCTGCTGCTGGTGCTGCTGCTGCTGCTGCTGCTGGTACCAATAAGGAGGAAACAATAAACCCTAAAAAAGGGTTTAATCATGTATTTAATATATATAAAGATATACAATTAGATCATGAATTATTTTATGATTCTTTTTATCCATCATGGTTATGGTCCCTTGCTAAACCCTCAAAAAAATATGGTGAATTAGCTATCACCTTCTTATATGGACGAGTAAACCCTAAACCCTAAACCCTAAACCCTAAACCCTAAACCCTTAAAAAATTCTAAACCCTAAACCCTAAAATTTTATATAAACCCTAAACACTAAACACTATATAAATAGAGGATATTCTTATTATTCTTTTTTTTTTTTTTCTTTTTTTTTTGTCTTTTTTTTATTTACTATCTATCATATATAAATAAAATTTATATATATTTATATATACATGTGTCTCCTTTATATAAATAAACGAATTAATTAAATTAATTAAATTAAATAAATAAATAAATAAATAAATAAATTATATTTATTAATTAAATTAATTAATTAATTTATTTAATGAATAAATTATATTTATTTATTTATTTATTTATTTATTTATTTTATTTATAGGGTATAGAGAAATCTAAATATAATGATTTTCTTCGTTTTATTCGTTTACATAGAAAAATAAATATTAAATTAAATAATATTAGATTAAAAAAAAATAAAAAAAATTCTATTAAACCTCTTTTCTGGGATGTATAAACCCTAAACCCTAAACCCTAAACCCTAAACCCTAAACCCTAAACCCTTAGGGTTT